ATACAAAGATATATATAACATCAAGTCTAAAAGATGCGTTTCACGTGAATATCTACCCAACGCCGGAATACGCAATGCGGCGGAAGCCCGCCAACATTCATTTCGTACCAGATCCTTGTACGCTTAACCTCAGCGGTTTCGTCGTTGGCGTCACTAGCACTGATGTTCTGATGCATATCAGCCAGGAGGAGATATCTCTGTAAGTTTTCGAGTAAACTTTTGTTCACAAGAATTATTTTAATGTATGGGGCAATGATTTTTTGATATTACAATTGATGGCGCGCCATCAAAATCGCTAATCGTCATCAGAAGCGTAATAATGTCTGTTGTTTGATTTGGCACGTTACTGAATCGTGCAAAACCATTCTAAGCGAGAAAAAAAAAGAAAATAGAGCGTTTTTGTTCCCCTAACATGCACGTACTGTACTTTCGCGGTATTGTTGCGTAAAGGCGCGTTCCCATTATGTCGTGACGACAGTTGCACCGTTTAAAGTGTCGTGCCTTGTATATTTAAATGACGTTGTTCACATATAGTACAACGATTGACTGTCGTTCACGATTTTTTTGACGTTACGACAACAGACTACCGTGACATTGGAAAGAGCTAGAACGACGGTAGTCTGACGATAAATAAAATGTCACGATAAAAATGTGACGACAGATAATCGCAGCCTCACACGATTCTGTCTTGCAAACGACAATGCGGCTGCCGTGAACCGATAAATTGTTGTCATGATCTAGTGAGAACAGCTAGACACGACAGTCATTCAACGATAAAATAAACGTCCACGACCCACGAGCTGCAGAGCCTTGAACGAGCTGTAGAGTTGCCTCACGGAGAGCGTGCTATGGAATTGCATAATTTGATTCCGCCTTCCCCTTTCCATTATCGGGGGACTAGACGTGGGCTGGGGTTCCACCCCTATGTTGTGGATATTCCCCGGATTCACACGAAGCGTTTCGTTTCCACATTTATATGGCGAGCGGCTACGGAGTGGAATCCCTGCCTGCAGATTTATTCCCCGAACGCTATAACTTGACCGTTTCTAGGCGAGAGTAAATAGGCATTATTAAGGTGTGCATGACACATCCTCGACTTTATCGTCACTTTCCATCAGGTGAGATGGAGGTCAAATGCGCATTTATTTTATATAAAAAAAGACATAGTCACGACAGATAGTCATGATATTAAAACAGGTTAGACGCGACGATACGTTGGACGACTGTCGCGTCTTCATTTATTTATATAAAACGTTATGACAGTGGGAACGCGCCCTCAGATGGATGAAATAAATTAGCAAATTTATTAACGTAAGTTTTGTTTTTTATATGTCTTAAAGTATAGTTTTTTCAGTGGCACCGGAGGCGACAAACTTGCTCGCCTGGCGGGACACGTACTGTCGCAGCAGTCGTATTATCCGCTGTGGCCGCCGCCACCTGGTCAATGCGTCGACGCTGCACTGTGGGCTGCCCACGCCCAGCTGCCCTGCACACCGCACGTATTCATCGTGCCGTCTAACTTCAGATACTTTGTTAAGGTATTTAACGAATTATTGAGTTATTATGAGATTGCATTATGAATGCTTCCTACAAAAATATAAATTGTAATGCATCAAAATCATATTGTCTCAACCCAGTGCAGGTAGTGATGCAACAGACCTCTGCTACTGCTTCCACAACTGCCATACGTTCCGCACGTTTTTTTCACATTTTCACAACACCGCTTCAAGGTTAATTGGAAGTTTACAACGTTAGCGTCGGATCAGGCGCTAGTACGATTGGTTTGGCGGCGGAGTGCGCGTTTTTTAGCAGTTTCATGTTAAGTGTATTTTTGAAACCAAAAACAAGCCCTGTTTGGAACAATTTCTGAGATTTTTTTTGTAGTGTTACGACACTTCCGTTGCATCACTAGTAGTGACCATGTATACTACATCTAACACCACAGAATGCTAAACGAATTGGAACTGTTAGCCACTTCTTTTTTTACAGGAAGTTAATGGTTGCGTAGTGGTGAATCCCGAGCACTTAGCGAAAGGCACAGGCGGCGGTACTTTCGCACGACTGCTTATTTCAGCCGACGAACAACAAAGGAACATTGCAGCGCAGATTGTACGCATATAAGTCCCTTTTACGCTATACACAACGGTATCAATAAGCATTCCAAGTTGTCAGTAACCAAATAAAAAATAAAGTGACGATCAGTATTGTTCAATTGTGTAATTTATATTATACTTAACCTTTTCATATTACCTAGCCTTTTTGCACTTAATAATTAAGTTTAATTATATTTTCCACGCTTTTCACGTAACGAATTTAAACGCTTTTGTTGTGAAATAATTAAATAAATAATAATATATCTTTAATATGGTTTATATATGACAACTAGTGGACATTACAATGACGGCTTGTAGTCTGGTTTATGTGGCGCTAGGCGGCATAAATGGGGTCGTTGAGCGAAACTAAGCCTCCGGGGTCGGAGCGCAGTGCTATCTGCAACCCCATGCGCGGCGAGTTATGCGCTGCCTTGCGGATCTCTGGATTTTCATCTAGGCGATACCTGTAAATTATAGATTTTTGTAACTACTGGTATTTTTTTTTGTGATACCAAGTGACGGGACGAACAAGTCATAGTCTGGTGGTAAGCGACACGCCTGTCCATAACAGTTGCAGTGCCACTCTGAGCTTTAAATCGCAAAGATCTGAGGTGCATTGTCACACGTCCAATTTACCGAAACTCAAGTTGGTAATTTAACAGAAATTTTACGTTGCAGAGCAGTTATATTTTACATTAACTTCATTAAACGTTCGAATGTACTCAAATATTCAACTCCGAATAGTCTCGAGAATTTCCCATCGTTATCATGTGTCATCGTATTGACACATCGAGTTCGAGAGGCAATTTTTGATTTTGTTAAATTAGTTCCAGAAATATTATATATGCCTTATACATGTGTTTGTATGAAAGACCTGATGAAGGGAAAATTACCACTATACCTCGAAAGAAAGCTCACGGACGTGCGCATTCTCCCCGACCTTACTTACTGTGCTCAAACTTGGGTCTTTGACGAATATCAGAAGTTCGCATTAGGGGTGTGTCAGCGAGGCATGGAGCGCAGTATCTTGGAAGTAAAATGTCAGACCGCGTGCGAAACAGCATACTGCGCTCCAAAACACAAATCGTTAACGTCGGTCATACAGCCGCGAGCTTGAAATGGAACTGGGCCGGACTCATTTGCCGCATGTCAAACGAGCTGTGAGCAAAGACCACCAAACGCAAGACTAAGCCGTGGCAGACACAGAACGAGATGGCGTGACGAACTGGACGCGTATATGAGGTCTTGGCCTGTAGCGGCGTTAAATCGCGAAGAGTGGAAAAAGGGAAGGGAGCCCTTTGCCCTGCAGTGGGACAGTAATGGCTGAAAAATGAAAATTGCATGCTTACGTTCTTAAAGTTTTCACTGGTTCGCCGTTCTCATCGGGAACTCCAGTTTCTGGATCTATTGTGGTCAATATGCACCTGAAAATGAATGACCATGATAAGATCGTACGTACAAAAGGCTTCCACGTTGATTTGGGGGCTCGTTGTACAAGACGTTGTCATAAAAATACATGCATATATCTTTTAGTAAAAAGTACATAAATACCTCGGGAGAAATTTTAAATTTTATAACACTTTTTCGTCATGTTCTTTCGTCGTTATCATAAGTGAGACACGATCAAAACCTCGAATATAATGTATTAAGGAACATAACGGATCCTCAAAAAAAAAATGTAATAATAAATAAAAAAAAATGTTCCATATCAAATACTTATGTTTTTTAATGTTCCATATAGGTACGTCATTTTTTAAATTATTTGTCACGTGTGTTTGTTTGTAACTTGATTTGATGAGAGCTCATAAGGGCCAATAGTTATTGGGGCTATGTTTATCCACAGCCTGGTTAGCTGATCAACTGTGTCAAAGAAGCATGTTATGCATAATGTGTGTGTTGCAGCCATTTACTTACAAATAAATGGACGACGGGTCTAATACAAAAACCATGAAAAAAAATGTCCCAAGTCAACTCATTTAAACGTAGTGACATGTAAAGGAATATAAAAAGCTAAAACGTTGAATTTAAATTGTAATGTCATTGCAGTACCGCCTAATTTTGCTTGCAACAATTGAAAGGCGCAAAAAAACACCATATTCACCTTCTACTGGAAACTTACCAAAATGCACCATATGAAGCTTCTAGTGAAAATTACTTGAACATAGGCACAATGAAGTAGCCTTTATTATTTATAAATAAATTTTATAAGTAAATGTTGAATTTTATACAATGCCATTTATTACGAGCTAGTTTCGAGAATTCTCGTACCCGATTTCTCGAGTTATTCGAGATTTTTTTTTAAAACCGTAAAAAATCGGCTCAGTCAACAATAAAACTAAATGTGAACTTTTCGAAAGTTGTTTTGGATTGAGTGTTCTGAGTTATGCATAAATTCCATCGTTCTTGGTCCCAGGTTCAATTCCCAGTAGAACCAATTTGGCAAATGAACTTTTGTAAATTGGTTCTGCTCTGGGATTCTGTTGCTTTGATACTCGTGGGGGGTATATACAGAGAGTTCCCTAGTTTCAAACCAGGTGATTGTCTATAATATGTGACAATAGAAAACCAAGACCAGAACCATTTAGAAAAGTTAATTTGTTAAATTGATCCTACCGGTATCGAACCCGGGAACTTCTCATCCAGTGCCCACAGTGCAAACCGTTAGGCTATCAAGGTTGTTACTATTTGTACTATTATGCAGTGTTTTTGTTCACTCATTGATGTAATAACATACCAAAGCTTTAATATTATGGTCTTTTATCAAGCTTGCATCAGCTCTGGTTTCCTTTCTTTTCTTACCATTTTCTTAACCCGTTCGTGCATAGTACTGAAATTATACTGCGCTCAAAAACGTCACCACTTTTCTATATGCCGTAGTGCTTACATTGCTTCAATACAATTATTACGGTTTATCACTGACGACGGTTGATTCCTTCAACAGGCATAGTCGTACTGCTCATAGTTCTTGCAAATGTTTCTTGTGCATGAAAAAGTACGGCTATGACGGCAGTAGGGTATTTGCCGTTGTGAGATAATTACAAAATTAAAATGTGCGATATTGATTGCGTAAGAGAAACGCTACCCAAAATAAACACTTAGGTACTAATTAATAATAATAACGCACACACTCAACATTGCCCCGCATTAGGGAAACCCTGTGTCGCGGGTGCCATGGTCACACATATAGACAACCACAAATTACACCCAAACTCACGAGAGAAATAAATGTAGGCCATACACATATTTCTTCCGAAAAACCTAATAAAATACTTCCGGAATTATGGAAATTCATGCAAAAGTTATTTCGGGCAAATGTATTTTCGATCTTCTGATTCGTAACCCCGAGCCGTAGAAAGAGTACAACAATATTTGAAAGTATTACTAACATGTATTAAAAATATTTTAGTAATAGCATAGCATCAAAGCGACTCTATGAAATTTTTGTTCTAAATATTTCAAACGCTTGTGTTTCAAACAATTGAAATTGACGTGATGCGTCTCGTTCAGTCTTTTACGCAAGCAATGAGTCGGAAAGAGACAGTTAGATATTTGATTATTTTGATTGCTTTTGTAATAAATATAAATTAAATACTATATATAGTAGTGCATAAAATAACACTTAAATGATAACTATGATAACACAATGTAGTACTTACTGAAAATATGATATACCACCCTGTTTTGTCACTTTAGTTAAGTAATTTTTACAAGGTTTTACTACACAATACGGCATCATTGACAAGCGGGCGTTAGTCAGTTGAACAAACGAAGACTAAAGCGTGATTGACGCCCTGTATACGATTTTAACGCCCTGTAAGTTCGGACACTTTTTAGCGCGGACCCGACGTCCGTTTGTCCGTTTGTAAGTCAATGGTTGCAGCCAAAGCTCTGACCGTAGTGTTGATTACTATCTACTATACCTTCATTTACGTATCATATTTATGAACTTTGCAACTAACCCTAATTTAACAACACCTTGACGACCTCGCCCAACGGTTCATAATGTGTATGCTGGATGAGGCGGCCCGGGTTGAATTTGAAATAGAAATTACCTTCTATTATGTCTATATTGGTTCTGGTCTGGGTGTTCTGGGTAATGCTTTGGTGTCAATTCCTTATAGTATAGGGGATTCCATATTTAGAGACGACGCCATTGTTGTGGTTGTCTGGCACTTTATTATTATTTAAGTGATGGTTTCTCAACCTGTGGTCCATGGACCCCTAAGGGGTCCGTGTAGTGATCGCCAGGGGTCCATGAGGAGCCTACCTAACATTGCATTAATATAAAAATTGTATACAATGTATTGTGAGTAAATAGGTGCAGTGCACGTGACCTTTTGAATTTTCGCTCCCTTTGACGGCTATCCATTAAGGTGCCTATAGATACGATCGATGATCGATCGTCAGTGTCGATTAGGAGCCTCGATCGACAAGGAGAGTTACAGACGTTTTCGAGTTGTTTGGGAGTGCTTATTGGGAATGTGGCATTAATTTCTAAATCCAAGATGGTTGCCAAGAATTTTCAAAAATTTATTTTTGGTAATCCTTATGGAAGTGACATTTACATCTGAATACATGATGGTTGACACGACTTTTCGCATTTCTAAATGCAATTTATTTTTCAAATAATGGCAAGTTGGGTACCGTTTTCGAGGTATTTGGGGGTGCTCATAACGAATATAGCACTTGTTTGTAAATTCAAGATGGCAGATACGATTTTTCAAAAAATGCAATATGGGTATCGTTTTCGAGATATTTGGGGGTGCTCATTACGAATATAGCACTTGTTTGTAAATCCAACATGGCAGACACGATTTTTCAAAAAAATACAATATGGGTATCCTTTTCGATGTATTTGGGGATGCTCAATACGAATATAGCACTCATTTCTAAATCCAAGATGGCGGACACGATTTCAAAAAATGCATTATGGGTATCCTTTTCGAGGTATTTGGGGATGCTCAATTCGAATATGGAACAATTATAAAACATTTATAAAATTATCTACCTATCTATACAACCTTGTGAACAAAGAAACCAATATTTATTGTAAAACTTCCCGGGAATGTAAAAAGATACTAGAGGATTGGCTAAAAATAAAAACGTATGATGACATTGAGGCTCTAATAAGGATTGGTGACTAACCTCCTAAAATAAATAGATAAATGCATAATAAATTAAATCAACATTTATTTACACAACCAGATATGTAGTACTTATACGTTCTGTTATGCACGCAAGCACACACATACACACGCACACATACACATACAAACACACACACACACAGACTTACAGACAGACAAAGACATATACCATACACACACATTAATTATCCGCATCTTTCTTAGTTTTATTTTAGTTAAATATTTACGGATAAAAAAAATGTAACCCTGAATAGCGGGGCTTCTAACACAAGTAACTTCTACTTACAAGTAGCCCCAACAATGGATACTGTAATTACTTTTATCTAGTAAATAAATGCTTTTTTTTTTCATTTCTAAATCCAAGATGGCGGGCACGATTTTTCGAATAATGGCAAATTGGGTATCGTTTTCGATGTGTTTGGGGGTGCTCATTACAAATATAGCACTTATTTGTAAATTTAAGATGGCGGACACGATCTTTTTTAAAAATGCAATATGGGTATCCTTTTCGAGGTATTTGGGGATGCTCATTACGAATATAGCACTTATTTGTAAATCCAAGATGGCGGACACGATTTAAAAAAAAATGCAATATGGGTACCCTTTTCGAGGTATTTGGGGATGCTAATTGCGAACATGGCACTAACATCTATATCCACGATGGCGGGTACGATTTTTCGACTAATGGCAAGTTGGGTATTGTTTTCGAGGTATTTGAGGGTGCTCATTACGAATATAGCACTTATTTGTAAATCCAAGATGGCCGACACGACTTTTCAAATAAATGCAGTATGGGTATTATTTTCGAGGTACTTGGGGATGCTCATTACGAATGTGGCACTCATTTCTAAATCCAAGATGGCAGGCACGATTTTTCGAATAATGGCAAGTTGGGTATCGTTTTTGAGGTATTTGGGGGTGCTCATTACGAATATGGCACTTGTTTGTAAATCCAAGATAGCAGACACGACTTTTCAAATAAATGCAGTATGGGTATTATTTTCGAGGTACTTGGGGATGCTCATTACGAATGTGGCACTCATTTCTAAATCCAAGATAGCAGGCACGATTTTTCGAATAATGGCAAGTTGGGTATCGTTTTTGAGGTATTTGGGAGTGCTTATTAGCCAGGATAGGTAACTTGGATTTAGAAATGAATGCCACATTCTCTATACGCGCTCCCAAACAACTAGAAAACGTCTATAATTCTCGTTGTCGATCGATTATGTCTGCAGGCTCCTAATCGACATTGTCGATCATATCTGTAGGCACCTTTATAGTAGCGAGCGAGACGCGCGTCAATGCAACCCGAGAGCCTTTCTTATTCTATTTATTATTATATATATAAAGCTACAAGTTCTTACTCACTAATAGAAATAGAACGCATACTTCCCGATATGGTGGAAAAAAGATATTTATACCGTTGTACGCGGATAGATTCCAAAGCAAAGAATCAAATATGAGAAGACCTAAATGTGGAAAACATGAAAGAGTGTTCAACGGCCTGCAAAAACTATATTATATGAAGGGAATATTTGTGCACTTTTATGAGGTGAAGTAAAAAATGTTCGAAATTCAAATAAATAAGATGGCCGCCATACTTTCAAAGTCTCCTATCACAGAAACTATTAGAGATAGGTAGGAGGTGCTCGAGGAATGTCATAGAGATTAATAGTGGTCAACTGCCTGGGATAAAATAAAACAAGATGGCGAATTCAAAATGGCAGCCGAAGAAAAACTTGCTTCGATCCGGCTGAAAATTGGTATGCGGGCGCTTTAGGAGTCCTTAATCATAATTTGGGGTCAAAAGTTTCTTCTCGCCATTTTTTAATACGGCTGTCATATGAGCGTTTTTTTCGTCGGCTGAAAATTAGCATGCGGAGGCCTCTAGAACTCCTGATAGTAATTTGTAGTCAAAATTGGTTTTTCGTCATTTTCAAATATGGCCGCTATAGAATCGTTCGTTGGCGGCAGAAAAAAAATGCTCTGATCCCTTTGAAAATTGGCATGTGTGGGTTTCTAGGAGTGCTTAATAATAATTTGTAATCAAAAATGGTTTTACGTCATTTTTTAATATGGCCGCCATTCAACAACTAATATAATATTACTACAAATTATTATCAAACTATAGGTGTTTGATAATAATTTGTGGTCGAAATTTATTTTTCGCCTTTTTTCAAAATGGCTGCCATACAAACATTTTTAGCACCAGATAAAAATTTGCTCTAATTCGATTGAAAGTGGACATGTCGAGGTCTCTATGAGTGTTTAATAATAATTAGCGGTCAAAGTCATTTTTCGGCATTTTTCAATATTGCTGCCATACAATCTTTTTTGGCGGTAGATAAAAATTTCTTCTAATTCGACTGAAAATGGCATGGCTTTAATCTCAATTTGGGGTAAACATTTAGTTTCTGCCGTTTCTCGATATAGACCTAATTTTTTATGTAAATGGCTATTGAAAAAACTTGCTTTGCTCGGACTGAAAATTGGCACGATTGGCAGATTTCTAAGATTGTTTGATAATAATTAGTGGTCAAAATATATTTTTGAAATTTTTAAATATGGCCGCCATCGAAGAGCTATTTCAATTTTTTTAAAACAAAGCCATAAGTGCCGAGGCCGGAGGCCGAGGTCCGCGGAGAGCGAAGCGCGAAGCGTCCGCACGCTATTAAATGGAGATAATATACGGAGACTTAATAGATTACGAGTACAAGATCTCACAATTGTAAAAATGTAAAGCATGCTTCCCGATGTAGTGGAAATGAGATACTTATTATAGCGTTGTTGTATCTCAACCGTCTCTATGTTAGATTTCATTTTCTTGAAAGCTATGCCAAAGAGAAGTATTTAGGGAGGAAAAATGCCAAACTACTGCCGAATTTCCTGTACTATGTAGGTACTATGTATACCAAATCAACAATAACCCAGAATACTCAGACCAAAACCAACTTAGAAATGTTCGTTTCTTAAATTGGCATAAATCGGGATTCGACGTCCTCATCAAGCGCCCATAGTACTAACTGCTGTGCCACCGAAGAGCATGAGCACACCCCGTAAACTGAAACCGACCACGCGCCACAGGCCGAGCCCGACCCCACCGTAGGTGGGGTACAGGGCTCGTTCATTATATACCTGGCAGCACAATAAAAACCTGCATAGGTTTATCCGTGCACTACAAGAAGTTCTCTCAAGTTTTCGGAAAGGGTCCGTGGGCTCTTTGTAATTTTGAGAGGGGTCCGTGACTAGAAAAAGGTTAAGAAGCCCTGAATCTAGTGTATATATTACATCAATTTTTTTTTCAATTTATTGCGTAAAGGTAGCGAACACACCGAGCGGCCTGTTCGGATCCGCCGCTGATCAGTAACTTCAAAGACGCGGCCTAGCTCTCGATACATACTTTAATTGAATACGCGTATTAGTACATATATTCAATTATGATACCCGCGTCTCGGCCCGAGGCCCGGCTCCCGGGCTCGCCCCATTGAAAAATATGTAGTAAACTCGTCCTTTTCGCGAGCACACCCATAAAATCTGCGCGTTTGACATCACGGGCCGTTGGAAAGTTCACAATCTGAATTTGTGGTAAACTTTTACGATGTAGTTAAATGTTTTTAGTCTGTTCTGTCCAACATATTTTCCGAGTGATCTACGAACTTTATTCCTCTGAAAGGAATAAAACAATCCCAGATTATACTTACCGAGTGCAAGGCTTGATTATCTCAAAGATATTGTCACCAATTTTAAGAAATTTCCAGTTGTCTTCGTCATAAGGCTTGGCTCCTGTCAGCACGAAATTCGGGCGGAATTGGAGAAGCGACGCTTCAGCATCCTTCATACGCATGTTCAAATCGTCCACTGACGCGTGGTTGATTAGATTGTAGGATGTTTCATCGGGGAATGCACCCTAGAAAATAAGTTAACGTTTATTTTTTTGTACATAAATAATTTGAGTGCGAGTTTGAATATAAGTGGGAATGAACCATTTGCACTTATCTACTACTACCACAGCGTAGTTTTATAAAAACGTAATGTTTGTCTTTCTTATTGTTTACTAAAGTTATTTGTAATGTATGCTAACGTGACCATACGTCTCACTTTGAGTGAGACAGTCTCGCTTTTGAGCTTCATGTCCCGCTGTCCCTAAAATACTTAACAATGTCCTTATTTGACAAAACAGAACAAAATAATTATATATATAAAAAATATACATGTAAAAAGCGAGCCCACCAGACTACAATTACGATTAGTATTTACGAGTAGTAAAAAAATATTTATTATCAAACATTTTTAGTTTTTGGTTTTAATCATTAAACATTTCGTAACTATCATAAACATGCGTTTCACTTATCAAGCAATAATACATATACAGGCGCTAGGCGTCCCGCTCTCTGAGGAAAAAATGTTCACGTATGTATGTCACGTTTACAATAGAATATCATAATTTATTTCAAATTACAATGTCGTCAATATTACAATTTAAAATATAAATGTCAAGGGATGATATGATATACCTACCGTATCATACTTAGTCAAATTGTAGAATTTAACTACGGGTTTCTCGCGTATCTTACGACTTTTCTCAGTTGCGTAGTACATCAGACGATAATTTGTAGTAGAATTGTCTACGATCCTGTGAAGTTGTAATCGGTGTTATTGGATGAATGTTATGTGTCGTGGGTAGCTGGCAGATGTAGACGGCTCACATGATGGAAAATGTTTACGCCTACACCTTTCCGACCAGTAGCGGATTTGCCCTAAGGCCCAGGAGGCCCGGGCCTAGGGCGGCTAATCGTAACAAAATTCACTGATGGTAACAAGAAATAACTAAGTACCTAATATTCTAAAGGCCGGACTGCACCGCACCGTATAACAATAATCTTCCTAAATCGCTTTCGTACATTTTATGTATAAAATATAGATATTATGTTACATATCTATAATGTAATGTATAATCGCTACATCACATATTATCACTACCGCGTCTGTCTGTCTGTCTGATCACGATAAAAGCAAAAACTACTTAACGAATTTTCATGCGGTTTCCACCAATAGAAAGAACGCAGCTACTATAGTTAACTAAATTTCTCAAAAGATTTCGATAAAAGTTGGCAATAAAGTAAATTCATTATGTAGTCTACCAGTATATGACAGATGCTGTGTGTGCTACATGTGCTGAGAAAGGGGGGCTGGTTCTGACTACATGGCCTGGGGCCTAGGACGGCCACGACTGCAAATCCGCCACTGCGACACTAAAGAAGAATATACTTTTGTCCATTAAAATACTAATTGATGTAAAGGTATCATCCAAAATCGCGCGACTTACATATAGTATGAATTTGTAATGAGCACTAATCAACGTAAAATGCATTTACAATTACATCCGAAAGATCATCAACATAAATCATGAGTATACAAATAACTTTTTTATTGCTAAACGAAAAAACATAAGAGATTGTTTGATATCATTCATATTGGAAAATACCTTTTTAATAAATATTGCAGTTACTGTACTTAAATAATAATAACGCAACACACTCATATCCCTCCCTGCAATAGGGAAACCCTGTGTCGCGGGTGCCATGGACACACATAGACAACCACAAACTACATCCAAACTCACGAGAGAAATAAATGTAGGCCATATACATATTTCTCCGAAGAACTTAGGACCTCTGCGTGGCAGTCCGGCATGGTAACCGTCCGGCCACGGAGGCAGTTAAATACTATTTTTGTTATTGCTGAAAAGCAATAAAAGCCGCGTTTATAACGCGACGTGAACATCGTTCGTGTGGAAGAGCGCAGCGTTGTCGTTGACTCTAATTGTAGCGCTAGCATATAAGTAGTGGTTCACTAACCATGTTAAATTAACGCCATTTTCGGTTTTTATTTTGTTGAATTGGTCAGTTTGGATTGCACAAGAAACATCTTCGTCTTCATCGTTGTCCGTATTTCCTCTATATCAAGTTTAAAGCCTTAAACGCAGCGAACAAACGTTCTTATGTTGCAAAAACTTTTATCGGCGCACATATAACCTTATTAACATATACGTAACTCACGTACATTTACACAGTATAAAGATTAAACCTTATGTAAAAAGGCATTTGTATGAAAGAGTTTATTACCTCGAAACCCATTCGCTAGCTTCCCATCCACAATCGTAAACAGGCACAGTGGCACCCCACACGACCGCAGTTTGCGGTTTTTGTGTAGCTGCTACCTGAAATAAAATTGTTTCTGATATTTATTTATGTAAAAGGAAAACCAATAGTTTAAAACTAAATGAAATAATAAAAACTGAGAGCCAATTACATATCCTCACAAATATAATAAGAAACCTGAATGCATAATTTAACAACTTATTACCTACATATAATATAAAAAGACCACCGTAGCTGTAAGCCTCACTATGAGTCAAATAAATCCCACTCAGTGCTTTCCTTGCCGAAATCACACTCGTTTTGAAAAGATCCAGATCAAGAGTATTAAGTACATAGAATCAAGGATCTTCTTTGCTTAGAATGTTGAAATTATTGCTTGCACGCCATATAAACTCATTTTTCCTGTAATTAGTACGGGCCTAACCCCGTAGAACTAGAAGTGAATTTTCTCTCAAAGATATAAAGGGAGCTTATAGTGATATTTGTGATAGCAATTCCGGACGGTCAATTGAGACTGATGCTATTTTTATTAAAAATATTAGGTCACTAATATCATGCCGCATTTCAAATGGTAATGATGATGCTTCTTACAGAAATTGTAATAACTGGCAGAATTGGAACAATCTTTTGTACGATAGCACGGAAAACGAACAAAATATGGGTAGGTACGTAGGCACACGCGCTTAGTATAATATTGAGATTCAATGTCTGTTTATTGCGTGTAGTCGATTAAATTCACATTTAGATATTTTTATAATATTTTTTTGTCAAAATAGGTGTTAGGGTAGAATGAGTGAGGTACATACATTATAAACTATAAATATTGTAACGAATCCATACAAATTAATGCTGGTGAAGCAAAACAGCCTTCATACAATTGACGCGAACAAACCAACGTTATGTAATTTTTTAAATAAATTTATAATTTTCTTAAAATTCTTATTCGTAGTAAAATATTGCAATTAAAATATAATACGGGTGGACCAGAACGACCGACAAAGCCGAAAACTGTGAAGAGTCTTAAATATGTACTTGATTGTACTGAAAGTCTTTTTGCTCTAAGTGTACTTAATAGTTTCAGAGTTATTCAATGATAAAGATTTGTTTGAAATGTCTGTGTTGTGTCAACCCTACACACAGCGGGAGATACTCAGGACAAAATCTTTGCAATATAATAAGTCGTTTAAAATAGTGAAAAGCAGCCAAACACGTCACTTATCACTGCTACTTATACCAGACAAAACGATTATTGCGAAACCTATTTCTTTATCATAATTGTCTTTTTAAAATTAACATTTAGATATTTAATCATCAACGATATCCGACGCGTACGCCGCGCCGCCGCCGCGCGTATATCTATGCAGAGTTGCCAACTAAGCGACTTTGTCCCTCTAAGTGACATTTTGACATCAAAAGCGTCTTTTATTTCTCGCGTATTTAATTAGGTTTAATCGTTTAAAATTTCATATTATTTTTATCTTAGTATTCAGGAAAAGTGTTTTGCCTGTACTGTGACCATAAAGTTCTGGCCAATTAAATGGACTTTATGTTTAGTGATATTTGCTTTAGTCTAGATGGCGACACTTTTTCATTCATAAATTAGTTCAAAATGCCTAGTTGTATGGTAACTTGTGGTCTCATGTTTTTTTCTCATGTTTACAACACAAAACAACGTTTACTTATTGATTTTTGGGTTGATACAGCAATTTATTAGCAATAGTGCCGTTATTAAGTAGTGTTTGTGTTAAGCAAGTAAAGCGTATTTTTGTGTGGAAGACCACATCGGCGTGTGACCGGCACACCCAGGAATGTGTCTGAAATGTCTGTAAGAGTAAAGGGGACGTGGACAAATCGAACATCCTTTTAATTTAAAGTAAGTTCAATGTTTTTTAATTACCTATTCAAGTGAGGACACTTTTATTCCCTCTGCGAGGGCCCATGACACGAACGCCGCCTGTGGGGCAGTAGATGTACTAACACGATTGATTCGCATAGGGTTGTTGCACCGCGAAAGGTTTAAATCTGGACGAACATTTTTCAACTGCTCTGATTTCACATTTAAAGTAAATAAAACTCATGTATGTAGGGTTCTTAACGTGATATTTCCGGCTTTAAAGTATAAAAATTATTGCTTACCTCTGCCAAATTAACGTGCAGGGGTTCATAATCAGCATGCTTCAAAGTAAGAATAGCGCTTTTTACAGTCGGGTTGATTTGCAAAAGTTCAGGGTGAGCTCTTGCTGTAATAAAGCTGTTCTTACTGTCAACTACCACCAAAACTCTGAAATAAAGGTTTTATATTCATTACGTTCACGCGTGTGCTTTTAGTTAGTATCACAGGTTAGTATTTAAGAACGATTCTATAGCATTCAGGTGTATCAAAAAATTGGGAAACGCTATTAATAAAGGGAAAAACACATTGTATGGGCCAGGTATAGTCCATACATGCACTGTAGTTGTAAGTTAGTTGTAATAGTAGAGTAGCACGAAGAGAAAGATTGCTTGAAAGTTCAAAGTATATTTTCGTAATAAGTTACAAGTGTTAGGTGGCAAATCTTTCCTTAAGTAGTGTCTCTGTGGACAGTTGGTGACGTACTGAGTTAATATTAAAGATTAATTAGTTATATAAAACAAAAGGCTGCGCGCGGCCTAAGTAGGTTGCCGCGTGCGCAGATTTGTACTTTAGTATGTATGGTGAGACCATACATGTTGGCAACCCAAAAGAAAAGAAAATGAAAATAAATAAAATGAGACTATTAAGGTAAAGATATGCCAGTACAAAGCAAGGAATTAGTCATCGAAGTTAAATGCAAAGTTGTCTTCAGCTTTGGTTGTAGTAATAGGGTGCGAGTGAGGGTGCACGGCCCGCGGGCGCGGCGGCGGTGGCGCGGGCGCGCTCTGTGCCGCTCGCTCCGGTTTGGTGTACTGCAGCTCTATGTCCTCGTGGTGAGCTTCGGATTGCTCGTTTCTGTTCTTAGCGCAGTTGAGTGGATGGCACTTTCTGACAATCCAAACTGTAGCTATGAAAATTGCAGTTCCCAGAAGAATGTAGCAGATCACGTACTGATGTACGTCATGGGATGAAATCGTCGTCGGGAGGACTTCACGTTCCTTTTGTGAAAGCAGTCGTTTGTCGATATCTTGCATCTCTCTCTCGTACGTGTTGTGTAAAACTTGCCATGGAACATTGTGATGAGTTAAGTTCACGATGTTGTTCACTGTAGAGTTCAACAATGGGATGTTTAACTGTATCTTCAAGTTTGAGTTGTACTCGTTGTGTGAATAGATGGTGAAGTCGGAGGACTGCAACATGCACCCTTGCATCAAAGTTACGATGGCTGATGATGTCATTGTATACGAGGTGACGTCGTTATCACATATGGTGCGCAAGGTGCACGTTCCGCAACAAACCGCCAGCCAAGTGTTTGGAGTGTGTAACTCGATCCACGCGTCACTGCATGACGTTTTCTTGACGTCACAGGGTGTGCTTGTGGTGTGACTGAGTAGTTTTGCCTCGCATGGGGCATTCTTACTCTGCAAGTTAAATACGGGCATGTTTTTGTTGCAGATGTAGTTACGTTGTTTGAGCATAGTGCATAGCTTCAGCTCATTTTCATATGGAGAGATGTAAATATTTTTCTGAAAGTTGACAGCGATGTACTGCGACTGTATCTGTATGATGCCGGTTCCTGCGTCAGTTTTCACAGGTAGTGGAGTGGCCTTGTAGAGAGAAAAATTTTCATCCGAAGTAAGTGGTATATGGACCTCGAATAGAAAGTAGTTAGAAGTAACGCGAGCCTTGATATAGACAAGCTTGTAGATGTTCTTGACGTCTTCTTTAACATTGTTTACCGGCAATGTTAATCTTTTCGGAAGCCTTCCAGATATGGCGTTCAGCTGTTCCATCAAGTCCACAGGACTCAACAAATGCACATCCATATGCCCTTTGTATACATTAGTTAATGTGTCGAACAACATTTCTTCCATTGCTTTTAGGTCTTTAAGCAATAAGTAGGTTGCAAGAGACGCCGAGTTGAAGTAACTGGTGGCCATCATGGCCTCCATAGCTGACTCGACTTTAGCTAGGTTCGAGTTAGTTTCGTTCATGAAGCCGTCGATTGAGTTAAGTTGTCGTTGAATGTTAGTTTCGGTTTTCTTTAGCACCTTGTTCTCTAGTTCCACTATTGATGTTTGGTTCTTAGTTAACTCTAGTAAGTAGTTCTCGTTTTCCTTAATCGCCTCTATATCTTGTTGGTATTTATCCACGAAGTGCTGGTCAAGTATACCGAACAGACTGTTCGCAACGTATCCGATGCCGTTGACCAATCCTCTCCTTTTACGCTCGGCTAAATGTTTGTGTGGTGCTAGTAAGATGGTGTTGTAGTGATGAAGTAGCTGCATCTCATGAGATAATTGCTGAAGAGTCGTCTCACAGTATCTAGGATCTATGTGATCGCACGTATCTGTCAAATGGTGTAAATAGTCTTCAATTCGCTGTACGCTCATCCAGTAGTTAGTTAAATTATAATACATAAGTAATGTCCACTCGTCGTGTATTATTTGCATTTGCCCGAGTGAATCATAATAAATCGGTCTGTTCGATTCTAAGTATGTAATATGAGCGCTCGATGTTACGCCGCCGCCGTCATTCATGCCACGTGCTCCCGTTATCAGTGTAAACATTGTAATTGATATTGTAAACAATGTTGTAAAAAAATTATTTGCAGCTTTCTTTCTGATCGTACGTTGTTGTGCAGTTGACGATGTGGTAAGATGTGGCTCGCTGGATGACGTAGTTTTCATCTCATGTGAAGTGTCAGTTTCCAGCGGGAGTGGTGATAGTTTCACGATGGGGCGTTTCATCACCCCGGTTTGAGTCTTGATAGTAGTGACTCGCACAAGGCCATCGGAACCGGGATGAAGCTCTATGACACGCCCCATGGCCCATTTTCCGGGAGGTAAGTTATTCTCCTTTACTAGCACAATGTCGTCTTCTTTGATGTTTTTTGTAGCCTTGTGCCACTTGCTGCGACTCTGAAGCTGAGTTAGATACTCGTTGGACCAGCTTTTCCAAAATTGATGAAGCATGTTTTCAGTTAGCTGCCATCGTCGCCGCAAGTCAACGTGTCTGACGTCAGTGTAATCAGAGAGGGGTAATGTCATCACGGGGCCGCCAGTGAGGAAGTGTCCGGGTGTTAAGTAATTGTAAAATTCTTCCGGGTCCTCAGTTAGTGCACACAGCGGCCGCGAGTTCATGCAGGCCTCGATTTTCGTAAGCAGCGTTGAGAACTCTTCATATGTCAGTTTTTGATCACCTAGCACGCGTTTTAGATGGTATTTCAGAGATTTTACAGCAGCCTCCCAGAGTCCACCTGCGTTCGGCCACGCAGGAGCGTTGAAGTGCCATTCAACTTCAAGTTTCCCAATCTCTGTGAAGAACTCTGGTGAAAGAATTTTTTTGAACTGTTCAAATTCTTTCCGAAGTAACTTGGCGGCGCCAATGAAGTTAGTGCCGCAGTCTGAGTAAACGTGCTTTGGCGTGCCCCGCCGCGCGCACAGACGTTGAAAGGCAGCGATGAAGGTTTCAGTGCTGAGGTCGGACACGAGCTCGATATGTACAGCCTTAGTTGCCATACATACGAAGATGGCAATGTATCCCTTTGATGTCTTAACACCTCTTCCTTTGTTCAGCTTGACCTCCACATGGCCAGTGAAGTCAACACCAGTATGTGTGAAAGGTCGAGATGGAGTAGTTCTTTGCTGCGGCAGGTCGCCCATGAGTTGGTAAGTTTGAGTCGGCTTGTATCGGTGGCACCGGATGCAATGACGTAGTCTCGCTTTGACCGCTCTGTTGCCACCGACGATCCAGTAACGTTGTCTTATGTAGGCTAAAGTTAGTCGAGCGCCACCGTGAAGTGTAGTACAGTGGGCCTTCTCGATAAGTAGTTGAGTTAGTCGCCCATTCCTTGATAAAATGACAGGATTTTTCATTTCATCTGGCAAACTGGAGTTGTTTAGGCGCCCACCGACACGAATAATCCCTTTATTATCCAGATACGGGTTTAGTTTGTAAATAGGGCTCTTGATCGGCACAGTTTCGTTTTTTACAAGTAATTTGTATTCTTGCTCAACCTCAATGCGTTGCACACATTTTATTATTTGTTCATTTGCAGCGGTAATTTCGCTTGTAGTAAGGAAGTTGGTTTCGGGTTTCGTTTTGTTGCGGACAATTGCACCGAAGCGCTGTATCCATGCGGTGACTCGTTGTACGCGTGTCAATGAACTGTATTTATTTACAAGTTCATTAATAAAATGTGTATTGTTATTTGTCGGTAGGGTTGTCGCCGCTTTATTTTTTAGCCCCGTGTTAGTAGTGAGGAGACACGTAGTATTTTTCTGAGCCTTCTCTTTTTGTGTAGTTTGAAGGAATTCAGGTCCTTTCCACCACAGCTCGAAGGTAAGTAATTTGGTAGGATACATCCCTCGGGAGGCGCAGTCCGCAGGGTTCTGTTCAGATTTTACGTACTGCCAGTTGGCAGCCGGAATGATTTGTTTGATCTTATTGACCCTGTTAGCTACGTATCTCTCCCATCTTGACACGTCTCCTTGCAACCAGGCTATCACCACTTGGGAGTCGCTCCAAGCTTGAATAGTGATGTCGTATCCTTTGAAGGCCTCTACTGCTTTTTCAACTAGTTGTGATAGTAATAGTGCACCGCGGAGTTCCAATCTAGGCAGAGTTGTTTTCTGTGCTAGAGACGCAACCCTAGTCTTAGCAGCGAGTAGAGTCGTGGTAAGCGTACCATTTTCGTTGGTAACACGAGTATATATGACGCACGCATAAGCCTTCTCACTGGCGTCACAAAAGCCAAGTAGTTCTACATATCGTTGCGTCCCCCCAAGCCATCTGTTAAGTGTCATGGCCTTGATTTCAGGGAGTTCAGCTCTAAACTTCAGCCACTCTTCTTGTATATCGGTCGGTAAGGCTTCGTCCCATGTGAGTTTGCTCGTCCAGACCTTTTGGAATAGCAGTTTGGCTAATACAGTTATAGGAGCCAACCATCCCAGCGGGTCGTATAGCTTTGAGATCTCCGATAGTAGGTGTCGCTTAGTAAATTGAAGCCTCGGTTTTTCTTCTAGGTCCCATTTAAATGTGAATGTGTCGTCACTGGGGTTCCATCTGAGGCCGAGGGTCTTCTTAGTTTCTTCGTGTTTGAAGTCAAAAATTTGTTGAGTTGAAATCTGATCTTCGACTAAGTTCTCAAGTTACTGATGATGATTCACCGACCATTTACGTAAGTTCATGCCCCCGCCGCGTAGTAATTTGATGAGTGTACCTTGAAGTTGTTTGGCTGCTTCGATGGTGCTGTGGCCACTAATTAAATCATCAACGTAAAATTCGTTTTGTAAGACGAGAGCAGCATCTGGATATTTGTGACCATCATCTATGGCTAGTTGTTTGAGTGTTCTCATAGCTAGCCAAGGTGCACATTTCATTCCGTACGTGACGGTACAAAGTTCAAAATCTGTCAGTTTGTCATTGGGAGAGTCGCGCCAAATAATTTTTTGTAGTTGGCGCTGGTCGTCTGCGATCCATATACAACGATACATCTTTTCTATGTCCGCTGTATATGCATATTTATAGGACCTCCATTTTAGAATAAGGGTCTGGATATCCTTCTGTAGGTTGGGTCCCTTTTCTTGTAAATGATTGAGACTCAAACCGCTTGTTGTTTTTTGAGATGCATTAAATACAGCTCTTAGTTTAGTTGTGGACGAATGTTCCCGCAGGACGCCGTGATGGGGTAGGTAACACTCCGGCTTAGTCGCTGTGATAGAACGCGCCGCCGGAGTCATATGTTGTAACTCGGCGTATTCTTTTATAAAATCACGGTACATAAGTGCGAGTTTTTTATTCTTATCGAGCCGCTTTTCTAGTTGTAAAAATTGAGAGATGGCAATAGATCGTGACTTCCCCATCTTTTTTTCGTAGTCAGGGACGAAAGGTATTTTCACTATGTATTTTCCATCTGGGGCTCGTTGTACCGTTTTGGAGTAATATTCTTCACAGTAGTCGTCCTTGGGTGAGTCCTTGTAATCCTGTGAGATATCTTCGTTCTCCCAGAACTTAGTTATGTTGTCTAAGTTGATTGTAACCGCGTGACAGTTGAAAGTTTTCATCTTGCCGCACAGTATCCAGCCTAAGTGCGTCTGTTGTGCGACAGGTGATTGTTGATTTCCTTTTACTACTCCGTCAAGAATGATATCGGAGTACACGTCGGCTCCAAGCAGTAAATCTATAGGACGCGAGATGTTGTACTCGAGATCTGCGAACTTTAAGTGTTCCAAATGTGGCCAGTTAGCCTTTTCGAAGGATGTGTTGGGTAAGTTATTTGTGAGCCTTTTCATTATGAGGGCTTGAGTTTGAAATAAATAATCGGAGTGAATCGACTTGCAAGTAATTTGAGCGCGTCCTTTACAGTCTCCGGATAGCGCTCCCACTCCAGATATGGTAGCATTGAGGCGTTGCCTAGGAAGTCGTAGTAGTTGCGCTGCCTTTTCGGTAATTAGGTTGACTTGCGAACCTTGATCTAATAGAGCTCGTAGGGTCACATACGTGCCATTTGCAGCTTTTATTTGAAGCTGCACAGTAGTCAAGAGTATCTCCATTTCATTAGTAAAGAGGTGATTGGAGCTTAGTTGATGTGAAGTAGATGGTTGAGGTGCCTTGATCTTCCCATCGTACTTGGAAGTAGTTATATTATTTAAATAATTGTTTCCGAAATTGTGCAACAAAGTGTGATGATTCATGCCACACTCTTTGCAAGTTTTTGTTGACGCGCACTCAGCATTGTTGTGACTGTATAAACAATTTCTGCACAAATGTAATTTCGCAACGATATTGTTGCGCTGTATTGAGTTCAGGTCGACGAACTTTGGACACTGCATCAACACGTGTTTTCCATCACAGTGTGGGCACCGTCCGAATTGACCAAAAGTTGTATGGTATGTTTTTGTATGAGTTTTCTTCGCCTCGGAGTGATGATTTTTGACCGGGAACGACTTATTGAAGATTTTTGGTGCAGATTGGTTACGTGGGTTGGTTGTCTCTCTTTTAGCATTTTTCATACTTTCGTACGCCATGAATTTGCCTTCCAAAAAGAAAAGAAATTCATGCAGGTGCGGCAGCTCTCTGTGATCTTGTATTTGGTTCATGTAGTCGGTGTACGACATGGTGTCAAGTTTCTGTAACATGAGGTGGACGATAAGGGGATCCCACGTAGTAGTATCTACACCGATATTCGACAGGCCATTCATACACTCCTTTGTGACATCATGTAGTTTCTTTAGATTGTAGCTGTTTGGATGCTGTATAACTGGCAAGTTCAGCATGGTGTTGATAAAAAAAGTGAACTGAACGCGGTGGTTGTCGTAGCGCTGTCTTAGTATTTCCCAGCACGCGTTGTAATTTTCAGCACTTATACTGAGGTGCTGTACCAATCTTTCAGCTTCACCACGCAACCTTGTTTTGAGATGCTGCATCTTCTGCGCTTTGTTGATCATCGGGTTGTTATGTACAGTCTCTTCGAAAAGATCTTTGAAAGAAATCCATTGTGTATAGCTACCGTAGAATTCTGGGATCTCAATTTTTGGCGCTGATTTTTGATAATGTACAGTCGACCAAATTTTTTCACTTAAGCTTCGTCGTAATTCGTCGTACTTGTCTTCTATTGACGCAAATGTATTATAATATTGAATATTAGAGCCTTTAAGTATAGCCTCCAGTTCCCAGTGGTGTCTGTCGATGACGTCCCACTTTGACTTCAAAATGGAAAGATGATCTTCTAGTTCCCATTTCTCGGTTACAGATTTCAAGTCTATCTTTGACATAGCACGGTCAAGAGCTTTGAAGTTACAGTCTTGACGATTGAGTAGTGCTTTCACCTTTTCGTCTGTGCTTTCTTCTATTACCCCGCTTAAGTCGAAATTCGTAGTTTTTCGCTCGCATTGTGACAAAAGTAGTTCCATGTCTTGTTTTGTAGTCTGGTATAACAGTTTGGTTTTGCCAAAAATACCTTCAGTGAAGTACTTTAATGTTTTATCGTCGATTGCTTCAACAAGAGTATAGTGTCGTTGCTCGAAGTCCTTCCATTGGTATTCGAGGGACTCAAGCCGATTAGTTAGATAGTCTTCAGTTTTTCTCACCTTGCTATCCTTTCCATAGTTAGTACACAGAGATTTTATGTTGTGGAAACATTGCTCTTGCAATTTTAGTACGTCCATGTTGTTTCTTCTTAGTAGTTGTCGTAAGAAGGTAAGTGAAGTATGTGCGGAGCTCTGGTACGTAGTTTACGGCAGAGCAGCAATTTGAAATTAATGTTTGTTAGATCGTAGGTCTGGCACGTAGTTTACGATGACAGCCGTGTCGAGCAGCGTTGGTTCGCGACACGAAGACAACAGAGTTTCCGCAGCCTTCACACTTTCAATCGCCGAATTCCGCAACCGGAAGTAGAGTAGTGGTTCCAAAAATCGTCCGAGTTGAAAACGGTAGCTTCAAGGTACCCAGCTTCTCGCACCCAAATGACGATATTATGCGCCTTCTCAATTCAACTGGTGAGACCCGCTTGTGGGAGGCTAGTCAAACCGATTCGCTATCGTCACGGAGGTACAAGTCGCAAAAAATGCCTTATTGCTCGAAGGACCAAAATGTATGGGCCAGGTATAGTCCATACATGCACTGTAGTTGTAAGTTAGTTGTAATAGTAGAGTAGCACGAAGAGAAAGATTGCTTGAAAGTTCAAAGTATATTTTCGTAATAAGTTACAAGTGTTAGGTGGCAAATCTTTCCTTAAGTAGTGTCTCTGTGGACAGTTGGTGACGTACTGAGTTAATATTAAAGATTAATTAGTTATATAAAACAAAAGGCTGCGCGCGGCCTAAGTAGGTTGCCGCGTGCGCAGATTTGTACTTTAGTATGTATGGTGAGACCATACACACATTATTAATCATAGAATAAAAGCGAAACTTGTATTTTTCAGGGCTATCTTTTTTAAATAAACTGTTAAAAAATTTACCCACACAATGTCCCGTGTCGTATTTATATATAAATAAAGAATAACTTAATTTCAATAAAAAGTAGTACCTACTTATTTACAATGTTTAGATGCGCCGTCACCCCGAAACTTACCTTATTTTTAAATTAATTTTAATATCGGTAATGAATATAATTAACTTAAGTAGATTAGGTATTTACTAAGCAATTATTGCAAAATTAAATTAATTATAAAGGAAAAATTATTTATCCTGTAGGCTATGTTCAATACTGAATAATTTGTTACGTGTGTTTTTTTTACACCCGCACTTTTATATACCGTATTTGTAACAAATACCTACCGATCCCGAAGCCAGCCATCTCTCAGTCCTAACGCAGAACATTCTGCCTTATTCAGTATCGCAGGGCCGCAGGATTTTACAGGATAGAGGAAGAGATGTTGCAACGTGCCAACTTGTTTCCAGTGTTTTGGAATCTTGTGTCTCTGGTGCGCTTTGTAAGCTTGGTAAGCGTAGTAGGCTCCGCCGAGGACCCCCACTGTGGCCACTGCCGCGGCGACGTAATTTGCTGATGGATATTGTGACAGAACAGTTAAAATAACAAGTGAAATAGGTGCCTCATTATTCCAGGCGGAATAGGGTTGATATTTTTACCAACCATTTTTGCAAAGTCGCACACATGACTGATTTACAAAGAATAAGAAGGAGTGGGGGCTTTTCTTGGTTATAAATTCTCGAATATATGAAATTTTTTCTACGTATGTATTATAATTTGGATCTTCAATGGGCGTGGGAAAAATTAGCAAATACTTTCACCACGTCTAATCTATAATATCTATAAGCGTATACATTGCCCCTTAAATGATTTTTTGACTTTGTGAAGACGACTATCAAGAAAAGCTAGTTTATTTCTATTCCTCGTATTAATGTTATGTCTGTCATTATTTTTCATAAAGAAATTACTATTCCTTTTAACATAAATTACATTTTCATATAATGTACTGTGAGGCTAGCGTAAGAATGTTAATTTCCTTAAACTTATCTCTCAAAGATACTTTGGGGCCCAGATTGTAAATTGCCCTAACTGCACGTTTCTGCAGGACAAAGATTCTATTGATATCGGCGGCATTACCCCAAAGCAAAATGCCGTATGTCATTAGACTGTGAAAGTAGCTGAAGTAAACCAATCTAGCGGTTTCGACGTCTGAAAGTTTCCTTATTTTTTTAATCGCGTACACTGCAGAGCCGAGCCGTTTTGGTAACTTACTTATATGGGGACCCCATTGCAATTTAGCATCTAACGTTATACCTAGAAATACAACTGTATCCACTAGATTCAATTTTTCGTTTCTAACTTCAATGTTTGTAACCATCTCTCTAACATTGGGTAATGTAAATTTCACACAATTTGCTTTTTTCTCATTAAGAAGTAGGTTATTAACAGCAAACCAATCAACTACTTTAGATATAGCATTGTTCACATCGTCGTACGAACATTGGTGCCTTTTAACTATAAATAATAAGGAAGTATCATCAACAAACAATACTATCTCATGTTTTATACCCTCCATAAGGCTAGGTAAGTCATTAATATAAACTAAATCTGGATTGATTCAGAACATAAATTAAATATAAATTAAGATAAATTTAGATCGTTTCAGAACCTTACGATAACTCTATTGTCGACCGATTCGATTAGATATCGTACGATTTCTTTTCATTTTTATTCACAAGAACCGAATCGAACGTCAAACTGTCGTATTCGAAACTGAACCGAAGTGATGTCACAACTCGAATGTTCTGAATAGCTCAGAAAGCGCCCTTCAATTCGAAAACCATATCCAATCGACGACGATTCGGTTAAGATATCGAAGAGTTCTGAATCGGTGTCCTGATCGGTAATCCCAAGCCGTAAAACGAGTACAACAATATTTTGTTAGTTATTGCTAACGTTTAGTAAAAAATCATTTTAAAAATAAGATTAAAATCAAAGCGCCTCATACTTTCTTTGCTCTAAATATTTCAATCGCTTGTGGTTTGAACAATTGAAAACGACCAAGAAGTTTATATACACTTCTTGAAATTGATGTAATGGGTCACTTTCCATCTTTTGCGCATACAATGTGTACAAAAAGGACAGTTAGCTATTTGATTATTTTGTTTGCTTTTGTGATTTATATTTACGATTCATTTAAATATGAATTAAATACAACAGTACAAAATCACACTTTTAAATGATAACACAATATATTTGTTTAGTGAAAATTTGATACAAAATCCTGTTTTTACACTTTACTGGAGTACTTTTTTTACAAGTTATTATTATTTACTGCATGATTGATAACAGCGCTGTCAGACGAACAAACGAAGACTGTTGCGCGATTGACGATGCGGATATAGACGCGGACACTTTTTAGCGCGAACCCGACGTCCATTTAATGCTTAGACATATTTTTTCCATCCTCTATTTGATTTTATGGCAGGTCAATGCGAAATTAGTAGTTTTTCCGCGCTCGCTAAGGAGAACGTAATCACTGAATAAACATTTGGCGCTCATAAAAGATAGCGAAACAGCAACAGGAAATAACAAATATGCGGCTTGGAAATACGATCATTATAAAAAAATATTACGAAATAACAAAACTATTCCAAGATAAATAATCAGGCTTGATAAGCATATCTAAAAAAAGAATCTTATCTGAAGACTTACCTTGATTCGACATCTAATAAAATGTCCTTTTATTTGTATGTACCTAAATAATAATAAATTTCGAGAGCGGTTTTTTGTTCTACTGCTAACCGTTATATTATATTCCGTAATACAGACGTTATTCACATGTAAATAACATGCAAAAACCATGTACTTTAAACACTTAAATAAATTACAATACAGTGATATCAAGTCGCACGTTGTAATGATAATTTACGTCGTTGCTGTGAGCGGTCGAGTTCACGTCGAGTTTATGTTTATCTAATCATGAGTCCGTTTTTATGCAATGCTTTGAGCTCACTTTAGTAAAAGTAAACGTGACAGGAAATGAACGAGGCTCTTTCAATAAGAAGGTCTAAACGATTACGAATGATATTATTATGGCTAGTAATTATTAAATTATTAATCCTAAAGAGGCAAGTTTAAAATAGTCAGTTTGAAGAATTTCTTTTACTTCGTCAACTCTAATTAAACGACTCATGACACCACGTTCTACGTTATCTTTCTAATTTGTGAATACCACTATATCTAGATGTGCACTTCGTCCCCTGTAACGCAAAGAGCTTTGACGTTTATGACACCTAAACAGGGTTCCGGCGTTTTAAAATTTCCTATTTAAAATTTATGTGACGGAGAATAAGACATAATTGTAATTGTGTATTAAAGGCGGTAAATAAGAAATTACGAACGAGACTCTAATAGAAGTTTTCTGAGTCGAGGTTCGTAATTCCCATATCGCCCGTGAAACACTACCCGATTTCAAGAGACCGGCCATTAGTCGCGGCGAGTGCGGTGCGACAAAAATGTGACGTCACGGTGCTTGTCTGTTCGCTATTGTGATAAAATTTCAAAATAGTGATTTTATCACTCGATTTTAAAAAGCTAAAATGTGAGTAAATCGCGACGGCATGCCTCTGGGGCAGAAGATGTACATATATGTAAATATAGCTATGTCAACTTTTAAAACAAGTCTTTTTGGCATTGGCAAGCGTTCGATTTACGTTCTAATAATTTTTATTTAGAGCATTATTTTTACTACTTAAAGTTTATAGAACACATTTAGAAAACATGTAGCGTTTGTCGTCTTTATTATACACCTGCAGTTTATGCGCACCAAAAGAGTAAAATTTTTATTTATCATTATTCTGCATTGCAGTTCACCTAGCCGTATGCCGCGTCGCTTTCGCGCAAGTCGCGCCCTGTCGTGCTAGCCTTAAAGCTAACAAATTCTTCTCTCAGTATATATTTTTTTCAATAACAAAAAAAAAACAAAGTGAAACAATTATCTTTTTTTGATATCATGCGTAAATTTGGCATATTATTGATTTGCAAGTTAACCGATACACGCAAGAAATTCAACGAAAGTGATGCTGGGCCATACGCAGGATAGTGTGTCATTCCCTTTGTAGTGTGTGAGCAGTCTCCTGCTGGGAGTGAATGGGCCACTTAAATGAAATTTGTTGACATTTGCAGAGTACGTTTGCTTAGTTTGGTTTTATAATACTAATATAACAACGTTTGAGTTTTGAAATTGGAAATCGGTCTTTCGATCTTTTGGTCGATAAATTTGTCAAGCAGTATTTGTTTCTTAGAAAAAATGTTTTCTAGCTCTTCGAACTCTATCACTCCTTGCAAATGCATAACGAAACGTCAAAAACGACAACGTTAGTCAACGTGGAGTCAGGCGAGCTTAGAATTTACGATTTTTATTCATAAAATGCGTTTCTTAGATAAAATTTGCTAAGTTACTATCAATAACATAAACTAATGTAAAGTTGCTACAACTATCTACAAATACCCTAAACATGGTTTTATTAAGAAATGAGGAGGTAAGTTTGTAACCATAATTACTTTTGTATTTTATGAACAGCCAAAACATTTTTAATGGTATTCATTATTTGTTTCAGTTTTTGGCAGAGCTAACTAAAATGTTCCAAAAAGCTCGAACATCGGGATCCGTAACTATGACTATGAAACGATGCAAGTACTTACTTAGTTACCTGCACAGTATAACACAATGTATTCGTGTCGAGATACCACTTCATTTACGTTTCGGTTTCAGATGACGGCCGAACGAAACCTGAACCACGGGATGGCAAACCAGTCATTAAAAACCCTCAGTACAAATGTCTGGTTAGAGCACAATCACGGAGCAAAAAGATATCCACAGTGATAGAACAAACAGATGTGGAAACCTTCAGTACAGCATACTCAAACCTTCTCAAAACTAGCGTGAATGGTTTGAAACGTTTGAAAAAACCCAAGAAAAAAGCAATGGCAACCCAATAATGATTTTTGGAGTTGTGACAATGAGTCAAGAGACTGAATTATTAAGTGCGCAAATGTCTGAACAAAATGTGTACTTTGGCGTACCATCGCCATATCCTAGCCTAGGCCGAGGTCCATTGAACTATGCTCTTCTCCTACAGGGATTGAAGAGTTGGTCTTGTCTGCTGCTGCTAGTGAAGAAAGCGCAGCTCGAGTCATTGACCATCTGTCCTATGCACCTAATTTTTATATCCATTATAATTTAAGTTATAATATTTTCAAATTAAAAGCTGTTGATTCAACCACCTTATATTATTTCTAAGTAAAAAGCAATTTTTGAAACAAAGCCTTTATTCTTGTTCTTTTGGTATTAACATTCTTTAGTTACAAATTTTATGAAAGTAATTCTAGCATTGATATCACATTGTTATGAGACCAGTAAACAAAATAGAATAAAAATATCTAATTAACATAAACTTATTCAATACAGCATAATTCTATTATATAGTTTCTTATATATATTTCTTTTCAACTAACATAAAAATTCAACCACATTTCATATTTTAATACAACATACAAAAATATAGTAATATCTTTATGGAATAATACTGGATACTGATAAAGTTTATAAATGAGTATGATTCAAGTATAGGTATTTACAATTTCTTTATATTCAGTCACTTTTTTAACATCCAAAATGAATTTGTCTCCTTAAAATAACTTTTTATTGCACATTTAAAAAGTCCGCATTATCATATTTTTCTTAAGTTTCTCCAAACGTCCATACAAAAATCTTACATGTCCAAATAATTTATTATTTTTCTTCAAAGAGCTGAGAAAATAAGCGCAAACAACTTTAGAAATGCGGCAATAGTATTACTTGACAAGACAGCAATATTGGAAAAATATAGACTAGACAAGACAATTTCATTACTTTCACTGCACTCACACAAAGAAGAGAACTATGCTACAAAACATTCTTAGAAGTAAGCCTTTTAAGACAGGCACTGCGCACTTGTTCGTTGGCGAGGCGTTCGGCCTCTTGCAGCACACGTCGCAAGTCGTTAGTTCTTTCGTGGCGCGCTGCGAGGATGTACGCGCTGCTTACGTTACGGCATACTAGGTACGACGAGATCTAGCCCACAAAAATTATAAATCAGTAATTTATACGCAACAAGTTTCCAGCAGGTATTTGTAATTGCTACAAAATATAACCAGAATTTTTAACCGATTTGAAAAAAGCGAGTTCTGAATTAGATTTTCTTTTTTGTACGTATGTTACGCGATTATTCCGACAATTGTCAACCAATTTCGATAATTATTTTATTGTTGGAGAGGGGGTACCTCAATGGTGCCTCAATTGGAGACCCATTCAAATTTGATGAAAATATTCCACATTTAAGCGTGGTAAATTAGGGATGAATCCAGTTTACTCAACTTCACCCGCATTCCGTTCATCAATTTCAATAAAATTAGCAAATAGATATGATTTCACAAACTTTTCATGTCGGTTATTATTATAAAAGTTATAATTATTTAAATGTTATAAACCGACCTTGATAGCAATGCTGTGAATGTCGCCAATGAGTAGTTCAGCCTGTTCATCATGCAGCTGGCCATGTGATTCGCACCGCGCAACTATGGCGCTCACGCCTGACTCTAATACTTGATCACTCATTAAACTGAAATGTGGAAAATTATCGTAAGAAAAAAAGAAAGAACTAAACTTTGAAATAAGGGATGTTTTTGAAATTTTTTGATCGTCTGCGGTCGTGTTTGACGCGTTTGTCACATAATCTACGTGTTTGATGGAAATATCGACTGACGGCGTGTTTGACAAACAAAACTTCAGTTGTCAACTATCTGTTCACCTTGCTACATTCCGTATAGTCATCTAATTCTATAAGCAATATTACTTTTAACAAATTATCGTGGGTATATTCTTCTCTTCATTTTAGCTATATTCTAGACCAATGTCTATTTCTTTTTTCTTAATAAATTGATAAGAGATAAGACTGACAATACATGCTAGAGTTAATGCCAAAAGCGCTGTATCTATTATTCTTACTCATTGCACAAATCACAGAGCAATATGACTCATTGTATTAACTATATAGTACGGTACGTACGACCGTAGAAAGAGATGACGAAGTGTGAACTACGTGCAAGTTTGTCAAACTTGTTTGATGGTTTATTTGATCGTTTGCGACATTGTTTGAAGAAAATATGAAGTTTGAAGGATAAATTTGATAAATTATTTGATCGTTTACGGGGCGCTTTAGTTAGTCTTCCATTGTAAACAATGAACTAAAATTAAGATACCTAGCAGCAGTTTCTTTGGAGGCTCTGATACACTTGGCTAGTGTCTTGACTTCCCTAAACCTGTCTACTTGCACCAAATATCGCGCCACATGCCTGTAAATGTTCATCGAATCCAACTTGTGTTCTGTTATTATCCTGTAAATAGAAAGGAAGAACACGTTATTGGCACATCTCCAATCCAAATCTAAAGCCAAGTTTTCCAAAGTGGTTCTGACGGACCCCTCGGGGCCCATGGGATGATCCAAGAGGTCTGTGAAATGTAAAAAATGTTCCCACGGCGCGGACGAAACCGATCATGAACAAGTTTAATTGTAATTAATTAACCTTGGTTATTTATTTATCATTTATTGCACAGGAAATCACAAATCACATTAGGTAAAAAGGAAAACACAAACAAAAGGTACTACTTATTTCTAAAATAAATTTCTTCCTGCAGACCTAAATACAGGACACAATAACGGGTTTACGTGCATAAGAAACAAAAGCCATGTATAGATTTTAAGACTTTCGTGGTTATTCACTAAATGATTATCACTAGTATCAGGTTTCATACCGTGGTAAGAAACCTGATACTAGTGATAATCAAAAGCCATGTAATAAATAAAAAGAAACAGTATCAATAACACGAACTGAAATATATGAATTTCTTTTCATAATTATTTAATTGAGTTCCGATATTTTTACTCAAATATTGTGCTTATAATTCTAACAGCATTATTCTTCATTGATTTGTAGGTAATTCTTGCACAAAAGAAATCAATTTGGAGGAATTACATTAGGTTTTTTTTTACACTCTTTATGTAGTTTTTTTATTAAAAAATTAAATGTGCCTTTACCACCATCTCACCTGATGGAAAGTGACGTTGGAAAATGCACACCTAAACAATGTCTATTCACTCTCGCCTTCAAAAGGCCCAAGTTATACCCCGTTCAGGGAACAAGTGTGCAGCCAGGAAATTGTACTCCAAAGCCGTTCGTCATATAAATATAAACGTGGAAGCAAAATGCGCGCCCAGCGTTGCGCCGTGTACGGAAGCGCACACTCGCATAATTTCGCGATGCACTCGCGTTGAATTGCGATGGTCGTCCCACAAGCCTTTTATTATTATATGTATGTGTGCGTTCGTACAAGGCCCGCGGCGGGCGTGCACACATAATATAAGCCGTGCTATTGCGTATGAATAGAGTTACTATACTTGTCTTATCATTATACTATGATATTACTTTTATTTAATGCATACACTCATAACCCTGCACTAGGGAGTTTCTCTATTGCGTAAAGCCTGTATCGCGGGTGCCATGGACACACACATACACAAGCACAAATTACACCCAAACTCACGAGTCCAATAGGGCAACCGTTCGGCCTCTGTGGCAGTCAACTTAGTATGTGGCCCACTAACTAATAGTGAATTTGAATATGTCCCTTGTGAAAACTACTTGGTCAGCCTTGACCTCTTGATCTTAAGATATGAGATAGCCAGCAACAGTCCTAGGATGTGACTATGGCAAATCCTCATATTAGGATTTTTCAACCCAAGATTACAGTTATTATTACTCACTTGAAAGCCAGTTCGAATCCACCTTCGATAGTCTGTCCTGTTGCCAAAATAACTGCGACCAGTCTAATTTTATCTGTATTGGATCCAAACAATGTCAGAGGTCTGAAATCATTGGTTTCTGACTCCTTCCTTACATTCTGTAAATAGGATATAATATATTTTTATGTTTTCATGTGGGCTTGCCGTTTTAATCTGCTGTGCATCTAAACGGGTAAGTAAATTGATCCTAATTTTAGAGGAGAATGCAGGTTTTACGTACAGATTAATATGAAAAGTTCACCTCATTCTTGAGTTTTTAAGTACAAACAAATAAAATTATTTTGGTAATTTATATCATTTCTTTAATGCTTAAACCAAGTTAGATAAACTGTCTCTTGCCCTGTACAATTTGTAGAACTATGACGTCCCTGAGCAGTTTGTCACGACGGACTTGGGCACTTCCATCTGATGAGCTGTTTCTGTCTACTCTAACATTTAAATAAATGTAATATAACTGACACTTTCACATTACCTGCAGAGGTATAACTTCAATGAGAACTTTTTCGTTCAGCCGGCCGGCGGCCTCACAGGCTGCAAGGTACTTGGCCACTTCTATTTGCCGGGTCATTGTAGTCATTAGGTTATCGATAGTTGCTTTGTCGAGGTGGAAGTGTAAAGATTTCGGGTCGTTTACCTCTGAAAGGGTCATCAAATTTTATTGTATTGTATTATTTTTTATCTTGTATATGTTAAGGAACACATACATGATAAGAAATGGATCCATGTGTAATATTATGGCTGCTGGTCTTGGGAAATTGATCAGTCCGCCCGTGACAATTTCAGCATTCCTTGAAAACTATTAGAATCCTCCTCAGTGGCCAACGAAATATAAAAGTGAGATCCGGTTTTGACAAAATGCTGATAAATTAAATACGGCAGCGACAGCGTCGTCTTATCATGCGACTTATCATATTTTCTCTTTCTATGGCACAATGATAAAGAGAAAACATAAGGGTCCGCACTGGTGCCTCTCTGTATATTATTAACCTGAAGAGACACCACTATAGTGTCTTTTTTGAAGATGGAGTAAAATGGCAGTTCATCGTAACAGTAGAGCTGTTGGGAAAGAGTTCGTCCAGGGAAGGCAGTACCTTACCTATTTCTGCCGCCTAGCAGTATTGTGAGCATTACTGTGTTCCGGTTTCGGAAGGGTAAGGGTGAAATTACAGGCACATGGGTATTGTCAACTTATGTCGCGGGGTGACGGGCACAGAGGCAGTGCCCTTAAGATCTTTTTTTTTTCGATTTAAAACTCTGAGTGGCTCTGCAACTGGATATCAATGATATGGATCAATGGATAGGCGTGTAGGCCATAAATATTCTATGTTCTATCTATACTGAATATTGGTTATGTTTACGAAATAAATAGCCGAATTTGTTTCATTTGAATCATCCGGTTTGAATTGTCATTCTTTGTAAGTTCACACACACATATACTGCATTTAGAACTATGTCTATTAAAAATACAAAGAGAAGTCATATGTTACAATTTTTCAATACAAATAATTAAATCCGCCTGTTCTTGTTAAAATGTGTATCAATAAAAATTGATTTCGATACTAAAGTAGACCAATTGTCAAAATAACAATGAAGAAGGCAATTAGATATCATTAGAACGTCGTAACATTCACAATTCAGACATTTTTGGCAAAATTTGACCTTCTTTTACAATCTATCGATTAAATTGTCGACAAAAACTACATGACTATTTAAAATTTTATATCTACTGCAAATGTAATTTTACTCTGTCTTAAAAAAAGACAGACTATAGATTATGGAGCTTTTTCTAATGTTTTAAAACGGCACTCACTGTTAACAACAGGTACACACTGACTCAAATGATGCAAAGCAGCAGTCAAATGATGTTGTCGATTTTGTAGTGTCGCAAACGGTGTCGGCCCATGGGGTACAGGCCTCGAGTACAGTAGGGCGCATGTCGCAGACGCGCGAGCATGTTGGGAGCTACCGCATTGAAACGTGTATAAAGCGTCCAATTTTTTACTCATTTCTAATGTTCGACAGATGTGCATTATGTACTCCTGTAAATGACAAAGACTCTTTGAAACGAAGTTGTAGCTAAATAAATAAAAAGGAGTTACGTACGAATTGTGAGCCCGCAATTTTAGTGCACTGATTTAATTTATACAAACCTTTGAAGGGACACTGACGCATAAGCTCAACAGACCCTAGCAATACATTTGTCATAACAAATATACACCTCAAAAGTGTCTAGAGATCAAGCACATAACTGAAGATCAGATGATTTTATTAACACCAATGGATTTTGGTCAATTTTATTTTCAAATTCAAATTATAAAATTGACCAAAAAATGTCCATCGATGTAAAAAAAAAACCTGATTTTCATTAATTGGAAAAAACGTGTTTCATTCTTACACTTTTGATATACAGCGTGTCCCAAAATTCAACGATAACGGGCGCTGGAGGGTGGACCTGCGCATAACTACTTGAGGAAAAATAAGAAAAAAAATTTATATAATTTTTTTTTAAATTACGATAAAAAAATTGTTATTCTTCGAAAATTTACTCCCTTAATGATATTTTAAATCACCACGACCACAATTTTTCAGATATTTCTGATGTTTTTATTTTAACGGCCACCTAAGTAGTACTGCTGTCTACCACAACTCTTAAAATTCCCAAAATGCCTGCAATTTTACAAAAAAATCCATCAAAATATTTTTTTTCCTTGAAATTTTGAAATATTTTTACCTGCAGTCGACTTTCACTCATCGTTTTGTAAAAAAAAGTACGGACACCACTGCGGCAAGTATTTTTAAAAATTGACGCAACTAACCAAGATTCCAAAATGGTATAATACTTTAAGAGAACTAGGTGCAAAAAATATTGGTACCATTTCTAAGAAAGACTAAATTTCTTGATTATTGTTCTTATTCATAATAATCACTTTCACTATGTGCCGAAAAAAGATTATTTGATGCAATTTCTTGGAATTTCAATGGCACATGTGCGTAGTCGATACAATTTAGAAATTAGAGAGAGAAAGATAGCGAGAGATATACGTTAGAAAGAGATAGATAGATGCCCTTTGTTGAATAACAATAAAGCAGGTACTTAAAAAAAATGTTGCAAAAAATATTCGTACCATTTTTAAGAAAGACTGAAATTCTAAATTATTGTTCTTATTTATAGTAATCACTTTTACTATTTGCCGAAAATAGGTTTTTGTTGCTGAAAAATGTTGATCAAAACAAATGGTATTTCTTCATTTAATTTATTTATTGCAAAATTAACATTATAGTAAATGTTCAAATTGTTTGTTACCAGCATTAATACATGCACGACATCGCCTTAAAAATGATCGTTTTATCTGTCGTGCATATCTTCTACCGTTGATATGAGCCGCAGCTTGATTGACTTGATTGTTTTGCGTAAATCCTGTCTTTGAGACAACCCCAATAGAAGAAATCCAGATATTGGGATTTGTCTTGTCTCATCAGGTGCGGATTTTCATTGCTCCAACTATGTAAATTGTGAAGATTTAAATAGCCATCTTTCTTGCAGGTTGTTTCGTCCGACCATAGAACTTTGTCTAGGAACTGGGGATCTTCCCGGTGTTTTTGCAGCATCACACGGCAAAATGCGATCCGTAGTGGATAGTCCCGAGGCAATAACGTCTGCACTCGCCTATAGTGATATGGGTGGAGCTTGTGACGTTTCAGAATTCGATGTGCCGTACTTTTTGGGATTCCCGTAGCTGCTTCTATGGCACGTACTGAGGTAGTTGCATCAATGTTTATTTCATTGAGAACTTCTTCATCGCATTCCGATTTCGGTCTTCCAGCGTTTCTTCTGGCAGATGGAAAATGACCCTCCGAAAACGCTCGATGCACATTCAAAAATACTCGATAATCCGGGTATCTTTCAGTGTTTGGGTACCTTTCTCAATACAATCTGCTGGCAGCGTTAGCATTGCACCGACATTCTCCATAAATAAGGTGCATGTTAGCGTATTCCACCGGTGTGTATGGTAGCGGCATGATAAACGATAATCAGTTCAAAATACGCCAAAATTCCAACTCACAGTCCAAAGTGATGCCAGGTCAATTTAGTTTGCAGATCACTTAAATCCAGTCCAATAAGCCAAGCCAAAAGTCGTTAGTACGAGAGCTACGTCAATTGATTACGGAAAGGTGCGCAGTAAACAAAGGAGCAGAGCGTACTGACTTGCTGAGCACCGGAACTTCTCTACCTGCGTTATTGCTATTCAACAAAGGACATCTATCTATCTCTTTCTAACGTATATCTCTCGGTATTTTTCTCTCTCTCTAATTTCTAAATTGTATCGACTACGCACATGTGCCATTGAAATTCCAAGAAATTGCAACACATAACCTTTTTTCGGCACATAGTAAAAGTGATTATTATTAACAAGAACAATAATCAAGAATTTTAATCTTTCTTAGAAATGGTACCAATATTTTTGGCGCCTAGTTTTATTAAAGTATTATACCATTTTGGAATCTTGGTTAGTTGCGTCAATTTTTAAAAAAACATGCCGCAGTGGTGTCCATACTTTTTTTTTACAAAACGATGAGTGAAAGTCGACTGAAGGTAAAAATATTTCAAAATTTTAAGGAAAAAAAATATTTTGATGGATTTTTGTGTAAAACTGCAGGCATTCTAGGGTTTTTAAGAGTTGTGGTAGACAGCAGTACTACTTAGGTGGCCGTTAAAATTAAAACATCAGAAATATCTGAAAAAATGTGGTCGTGGTGATTCAAAATATCATTAAGGGACTAAATTTTCGAAGAATAACAATTTTTTTATCGTAATTGAAAAAAAAATGAGATAGATTTTTTTTCTTATTTTTCCTCAAGTAGTTATGCGCAGGTCCACCCTCCAGCGCCCGCTTATCGTCGAATTTTGGGACACGCTGTATGTATGTCAAATAAAAAGTAAATACACCTATATCCGTATGAATTCCTTATTGATAACGAGAAACACATTTGTACTCATTGAAATTAAAAAATGGTAGAAATCTATTTTATGTGAAAAACTCCCTTTGGTACCTTTGTATAAATGTGGTATAATCAACAACGCGTTGCGGCTTTTAAAATATAAATTAGATTCTGCCAATTATAGTAATAACGGCGCAACGTCCAACGTATGGTTAATTGTGAAAATATTTACATATCGCATTGCTATTACAGTAGTGTTGTACCTCAAATTATGTAAAATTCAAAATTATATCATCTCAGTAGGGCTAGTACGACAGGGCGACAGAGAGATACTTCTCACTCAAGTTGCGTCCTCTAGTCCTCTACAAAACATAACATTTGATTCTCTACACGTCAATAAAACCGTCGTTTGAATATTGTAAAAAACAATTAAAAGACAGTTACTTAGTTCAAAATGAGACAAACTTTTTGTGTTAGGTTAAGTTAGTTCTTACTTAGCCCTGTAGCACCGGGCTTAAGAATAAGCCTACGGTATCACCTGCCTATCATACAAGGCGACTAAAAGGTGACCTCGAGGTCGCGAACGCCCGGAGTGTGGGCTTTAGTAGTCCGTTAAAGCGACTCCGGGAAGACGGCAGAGTGTGATGGTTGCACTATGCCGTGCCGAACTTGCCAGAGACGACAAGAGCTAAGAGCTCGAGAGGAGCATATTAAAAAATATGAAATTATTTTTTCCCTTTTATTTTTAAATTATGTTTGGCAAGTAGGAAATTGTTTAGGTGTCTGTAATACACTTTAACCTACATATAGATAAATTGTGATAATCTTTCACGGGATGTGAGTAATTTGTTTTTTTATCGATTCTCAAAAATACACTATTGTAATACACTGATATGTTTTTATAATACTTGTAATACTCACCGACCACATTTCCAAAGTACCGTCCATGTCGGTCATAGCCTTCAGTAAATCATTAACTTTGTCTTTCTTCAAGCATTCCATGTAAACGGCTTCAGTGAACGTCTCTTTGTCGACTAAGTTATCATAACAGTACTTAATCACTTCTGTCATATTACTGTGTTTCATATAAAACGCTATATTTGCCACGTGAGATCCGTAATTGCTTAGGTAGTACACACATTGTTTATAGAAGAAAGGATCCAATCTTTTGTTTGTATGGTCTATTTTTGGTTCGTTGTGGTTGTTGTTTCTTCTCAATAAGCCTTGTGCTAAACTCTTCTTAGGTGGAACAGTGGCGGTTTGGAAGTCACTATAGTCGCCTTGTTTTATCTTCTTTACGCTGGCCAAAGTGTGCATTATGTTTAACGCCGGTTCGGCGATTGGGATCTTCTTTTTACTAGTGTTCATCGTTATTAGTTTTTCGTTTGTCGACTGAAATGATAATATATAATAAAATAATGTAGGCTAACCGTGTAATTTTTTTAACCCTGTATCGCGGGTGCCATGGACACACAGATAGACAACAATTGACTTTTATGTAGTTCACAATTTTGTTTGCCACCGTGATATTCATATATTTTTGTGAAATAACTCTACTAGTTTGTTCTAATTATTAATACAAAGATCGAACACAAAGAAAATTTTCTTCGCACCGACAGGACTCACAAATCTCTCACAAGATGTCGTTTACGGCGTTGAAAGCCGAAAAAATTCAGTACTAAGGTCAAACAAGACACATAGAATCAACGACACACACTGTGTTTCACTTATGTGCGGTTCCGGCACAACAATTCATTCAGTTGGTAGTCAAACATTCACGATGGTGGACGCAGATGCGGTCCTATTTGAAATTTAATTTACATCGGTGAGTAAAATCACCTTTCGCTATTTGACTAATTGTGTAAACATAAATTTAAAGTTTTACATAACAGATACAAGGAAACTGTCTCAGGAACCATTAAGTCTTTTTTATGACAACAATTTTGGCATAGTAAATTTTTTGGTCCTGCATGAGTTGTCCATAAAAATGAATAAAATTGATCAAATTTTTTTAGCGGTGATCGACTCAGTTTCATGAAGGAATGATTTCATTGTATGGGCCGAAATAATCAGAACAGCAGAAAGTGGTCAAATGTTGTTCATGCGAAATGAATAAAATTGATCATTCCGGCTGAGTGTTGCCATTTAAACCACTGGTTCTACGAATTTATACTAACTTTTAAATGTTGCCGTTCAACTTTTGTATTATATATTATTTATTTTGTATTATATATTATTTATTTTGTATTATATTATGTATTTATATACGTATTAACTTTAAAAGTTAATACGTATATAAATATATAATATAATATACAAAAAAATATATATTTTAGCAAAAAAAGAAAACAAAACTTACCTTCATTGTCTCAGCCTTGTTGAGCAATTGTTGGTTCACAGGATAGTTCATATCCTCGAGAATGCTAATGATCTCGTTTAAAAGCGGAGGGTTATTCCTTGGTCGTCCATCAGATTGCATGCTCGACATCGAACTTGATCTCTCAGAGTACCTCAAACTCTGCAATCGTCTATTTACATACATCGGTTCTGAAATTTCTTTTGCTTCCTTCCCATATTCACATTCCTCACCAACTTCTAAGCAAACATTTATAGTGTTTTTGAAACAATGTGCAAATTTCTCTCTGGCTTGTTGGAAGCATCCCGCCTTGAGGCACGTCTTTCCCCATGCAGCTAAAACACTGTTTCTGGGTAGACCAGATTTAGTAGCTATTTCAAGCGCTAATTCCCATTTCTCAGCTTCTAGAAGGGACCGGACTATTTGACCTGTGGATAGAAAATGGCAAAAGCATCAATCATGGCATCACTCTATAGGCTAAAGTAGTTACTTACATCTTTTTGTAGAAATCGGAGTTACTCTATTTTGATATTCAAGCCGCTTTAATAGCGACCTAATTCACAAGGAAGATGATTTAAAATATTTCTTAAAGCGTATCTGACGCGCAAAGCTGACGAATTGTGTAGCAGTCTAATGTTGTCACGTGATAATTTCGCACTAATATAGAAAGCTCGTTGTCTCATTCACAATAAGCGCCCAGTTACACGACGAGAAAGTTTTTAGGCGGCCGCCGTGCGTTAGCCGTCTGGCTATCACGCTTTCACGTACATTAATAGCGAGTCTGAATTTTATTTATTAAATATAACCGGGCGATAGTCGCACGGCCGCCGCGCAGACCAAAGACAAGCCTAATGGCGTGAAGTTGATATTTGTTTGCTCATTTAAGTTAAAACGTAAATGCTAAATGTATTTTGCGACAGCAGTCCGGTTTCTAAATACGTGCACGCGGTCGCGCGCACGATGAAATTCGTGTCAAATAAACGCGCCCCAAAATTTAGCACATTATGAATACAGCTCGGTAAAAAGTTACAAAAAGTAGCGCAAACCGGTGGACGGCAAGGTAGAGGGCAGCAAATTTATTATCGTACATTTTAAGTTATTTCAATTAACATAACGTATAAATTGCAATGTTCTGAGACCGACATCTGCATTCGAAGCGCATCTGCATTTCAAAGCATTGAAATTTATACTCTATTTCAATTTAATAGCACAAATTGTAGATTGACAAATTTAATATCCTCTGACTTGCCGTTCGCCGGTTTGCACTGGCTCTAAATCGTAACTTTCCCACCTGAAAACGTTATTTTCTATTAATGGAACAACTGTGTCATTGATTTGAATGATAAGTGGAAAATATTCTACTTATAAGTGCAAAAGTACTTGTTTACGACGTTGTTTTATATTCATGAACTTAAAAAGTTTTATTGTGTCCTTTCAAACGTTATAGAGTATAACGTATACTGCCCTCATTGTCATAACCATCGCATTTGCATTTCAGTAACCTTCAAGATATTGGGACCTAAAGTTTAATCGTCGTCATCACTTAGAAACTACCGTCTACCGTCCCATTGCTTTACTACCAGTGCTATCAAAAATATTGGAGCGAATAATTTATAATAGTATTTATGGATTTTTAGAAAAATCTGGAACATTAAAACCAGAACAGTATGGCTTCCAGAAAAATAAATCTACAAATCATGCAATAATTGATTTACTAACAATTGTATCGGATAGTATCAATAAAAGGGAAGCAGTATCTACAATCTTCATGGACATGACGAAAGCATTTGACTTTGTGTCACATAAGTTACTATTAGACAAAATATATGACTACGGATTGAGAGGACCAGCACATGATCTAATAAAATCATACCTAGAGAATCGCCAACAAGAGACCCATATTACATACATGGACAAAAACACGGAGAAAGTAGCCAAATCAAATATTAGAACTGTAGAGCGCGGTATACCGCAGGGCAGTATTTTAGGGCCACTATTATTTATTCTCTATATTAACGACTTGCCAGACCATGTTCAACAAAAGATGATACTTTTTGCTACGATTCCTCTGTGGTTGTGAGATGCACTAATATTGATGAATATGAATCAACTTTAAATGATGCACTAAGTGACACTATAAAATGGCTACATTTAAATAATCTCGTAGTAAATTTGGACAAGACTAAGTTTATGTAATTCTACATGCCACAATCACGACCAAAAAATTTAACTATAACCTACAATGCACAAAATGTAGCTCAGGTTGATGAAACAAATTTTCTTGGGCCTTACTCTTGATAATCACTTGAGCTGGAAGTCACATATAAATAAGTTAAATACTAAACTTAGTAAATACGTATACGTCCTGAAAAATCTGACGAGAATAACGTCACAAAAAACTGCTCTTTGTGCTTATCACGCCTATGTAGTCTCTAGTTTGCGATATGGTCTGCTGCTTTGGGGGAACGCTGCTGCAACACATATTACACCACTGTTTAAAACCCAGAAGAAATGTGTCAGGGCTATGTTTGGTGTGGGCCAGCGAGAAAGCTGTGTACCCTATTTTAGAAAACTAAAGATTTTAAAGATTTTAACCCTACCATCTATGTATATTTACGAGGCCTGTGTTTATATAAAACAAAATCCCGGCAACTTTAATCTAGTGAAAACCAGACATCCCAGGAAAACAACGGACCACACAAACATTTTACAATAGAACGATGTTTACATTGGCACCTAAATTATTTAATAAAATACCAGATGCAGTTAAAGAACTAAATTGTAGGCAATTTAAAATAAAATTACATAATTTGTTAGTTACACAATGCTACTACAATATAAATGATTTTTTAATAGATAACATAAAATGTAAAATTTAACCACTGTGCGTGATTGAAATAAGAATTGTGTAAAATATTCGCATGCCAAGTTTTGGTGAAATGTACGATCTAATAATAATATACTATAACACCATTGTAAACTACATTTTTCAGCGAATAAATATCTTGTATTCTTGTATTCTTGTCAATTACGCTGATTTTGCTTAACAATGAAAGTGAATATCGAGTTCTTAGGTTTTCGCGATTGTTACACATAGGAAATGAAACTATTTTTCCAGTTTGGTTTGTTTGAAAAAACAAATATACGCGATTTAAATCCGGAAAAAAGTTTCATTTCCTAAATGAAAGTGGAACTAAATAATGTAAAGAGACCCTTAACAAAGCCGAAATATACGCATAGATTGCTGGGGAACAATATTTATTTGTAGGTATAATAAAGCGGCTGTTTTTTTAGGACACGCAACGTGTAGCGTACAACAGAGTGGATGAGTGTGTGTGTTCAATCCGCGCGCGTTCAGTGTCGTAGTAGTTTAGTAATAATAATATACGTTTATTTTCTCCACAAACATAACTGTTGTTATAAGAAGCATATAATAAAAATATTGTTTTACATTATGTTTGTAAAAGACTGAAACCTAAAGTAAGCGTAAGCTTGTAATATAGGATGCCAGGGGCCTTACCGTGAACTCTTGTTACGATTCACTTTAGGAATCCCGCTTTTTTGTCGTTACGAACCTATACTGAATTGTAATAAGAGTTCATGGTAAGACCCCTGGTCTCTCACCTCGGATAACAAGACTAACAAAATGTTGAGAAAACACAAAATATATAAAATATAAGGTAACTATTTTTAACTTTATCAGCTAAACTATAGCATAGTGTGTGACTGAGTGTGTGTGTGTCTGTCTGTCTGTCTCTCTCTCTCTGTGTGTGTGTGTGTGTGTGTGTGTGTGTGTGTGTGTGTGTGTGTGT